ACTTTTACAGTGGATCCCCCCAACAAGTAAAGGACCTTAGAGCAAAAGATTCCCCAGCAGCCAGCATCAATAGAGCCCTCCCTTTTACTGTGGATCCCCCAACAACTAAAGGACCTTTGAGCAAAAGATCGCCCAGCAGCCAGCATCAATAGACCCCCCCCCCTCCCTTTACAGTGGATCCTCCCACCAACATAAAACATAAGAACCTCAGAGCAAAAGATCCCCCATAATTTGCCATAACATGCTACCAGTACCAATATTAAAGACACGATCGGTGTCACAGACGGACTGTATCTGTGGCTGGCAGTGGCCGGGTGACAGTTGCAGTGAGTGGAGGAAGATAGATCCACACTCTGGCAGATCCCAGGCTGGAATTCCCAAGGCAATGGGGGGAGATAAAATGCTGTGACAGCAGGCAGCTGAATGAGCGATCCCACACAGTGACAGATCCGACACAACACAGCACCACCAACACTGACACAGATCAGCAGGTACTAGAAGAGCAGGTTGTGGGATCGTGATGATGTCATCACTTCACTGACACATTGCACATGGGATGGATGGCCGGGCCGGCCGGGTCACACTCACACAGACATGAGACATCAGAGTCAGACATTACCTTCCTCTGTAGGAGCAGCTCCACCTCCGCTTATGAATGGGGAGAGAACTCTGCGCTGATCAGCAGCAGCCAGCTAGCTTGCAGTAAGGGACTGAGTCTGAGAGGAATACTGGAAGGAGCCGCAGCTCAGCTGCTACATTGGCCACAGACACCCAGTATCTTCCTCTGTCCTGTCTTCCTCCTCCCCTCTGCCACCCTCCTCTCAGCTGAAGGATCGTTCATGACATTGTGGCGTCCTACACAGAGAGAGTGCCGGCCTGTGCTGCTCCCAGGTGCCCCTAGGTGACAGTGCACCCTAGGCGGCCACCTAGTTTGCCTAGCTGAAACGCCAGCCCTGGTCCTTTGCGGTGCCCTGCTATCATCCTTTCTTCTCCAGGTTCCCGACTCTCTTCTTTATGATGGGATTATGTAACTAAAACAGGGTGGCTCCAGAACCTTCACACCTTCTGTTCTCAGACAATCAACATCTGCCTTGACACATTCCATGGTGATTGGATTAAGAGCTTGCCGACTCACTGCAATACATGTACTGCTGAAGGTCGGCTCGTACAGACACCAAATTGTACCTGTACGTTGCGGCTTTCTTCTGAGTTCGCGCTTCTGGAAACGTGTGCTGCCATTCGCTATAGCACAAGCCAATCGGCGGGTCCTGCCAACTATTTATGTCATGAACCAGCTGATCGGCTGAGCAAATGACAGAAGAGAGCCCTGTGTTGGTAAACAACACAGGGCTCTCTCTACAGACAGCTGCGATGTACTGTTTTTTATTTTGTCTCCTGGTCAAAATCAGCACACATTACACATAATAAACATTGTTAGGCACACAGTTAACCCCTTGACTGTCCCTAAATGTTAACCCCTTCCCATCCAGTTTCATTAGAACAGTGACAGTGTATTTTATTAGCACTGATCACTGTATTAGTGTCACTGGTGATGATCAGTGTCAGTCAGTCCCCCGAGCATCAGTTAGTGTCAGATTGTCCGTCGCACTATTACCGTCCCGCTATAAGTAGCTGATCGCCACCATTACTAGTATAAAATAAATAAATAAAAATCCAGTATCCCAAACCATAGTTTGTAGACACTTTACCTTTCACACAAACCAATCAATATACACCTATTGAGATTTTTTTTTTTACCAAAGACATGTAGCAGAATACATTTTGGTCTAAATTAATGAATTCATTTGATTTTTTTTACCTTTTTTTTATTGTATATGTTTTATACCACAAAGTAGAAAATATTTGGGGTTTTTTCAGTCTTTTTTCATTTATATCACAAATAAGCTGGTGCTTAAATACCACCAAAAGAAAGCTCTATTTGTGTGAAATAATTATATAAACTTAATTTGGATACAGTGTTGCATGACCGTGTAATTACCAGTTAATGTAGAGCAGTGCCAAATAGCAAAAAAAAATGGTCATGCAGGGCATAAATCCTTCTTGAGCTCATGTGGAAAAGGTTTTGGTGCTCCCTGGGTGGATATCAATTCTGAAGTACACTATATTGCCAAAAGTATTGATTGGCCTGCCTTTCCACACACATGAGCTTTAATGGCCCCCCAGTCTTAGTCCGTAGGGTTCAATATTGAGTTGGCCCCGCCTTTTGCAGCTATAAACAGCTTCAACTCTTCTAGGAAGGCCGTCCACAAGGTTTTTAGGAGGGTGTCTATGGGAAGGTTGGACCATTCTTCCAGAAGCACATTTGTGGGGTCAGGCACTGATGTCGGGGGAGGAGGCCTGGCTCACAGTCTCCGTTCTAATTCATCCCAAAGGTGTTCTATTGGGGTTGAGGTCAGGACTCTGTGCAGGCCAGTCAAGTTCCTCCACCCCAAACTGGCTCATCCATGTCTTTATGGACCTTGCTTTATGCACTGGTGTGCAGTCATGTTTGAACAGGAAGGGGCCTATCCCCAAACTCTTCCCACAAAGTTGGGAGCATGAAATTGTCCAAAATGTCTTGGTATGCTGATGTCTTAAGAGTTCCCTTCACTAGAACTAGGGGCCAAGCCCAAGCCCCTGAAAAACAACCCCACACCATAATCCCCCTCCACCAAACTTTACACTTGGCACAATGCAGTCAGAAAGTACCGGTCTCCTGGCAACCACCAAACCCAGACATGTCCATCGGATTCACCAGACAGAGAAGCATGATTGGTCACTCCAGAGAACACAGGCCATTGCTCTAGAGTCCAGTGGGTGGTGTGCTTTACACCACTGTATCCGATGCTTTGCATTGCACTTGGTGATGTAAGGCTTGGATGCAGCTGCTCGGCCATGGAAACCCATTCCATGAAGCTCTCTACACACTGTTGTTGTGCTCATCTGAAGGCCACACCAAGTTTGGAGGTCTTTAGCTATTGACTCTGCAGACAGTTTGTGACTTCTGTGCACACTGTGCTTCAGCATGCGCTGACCCCGCTCTGTCATGTGACGTGGCCTACCACTTGGTGGCTGAGTTGCTGTTTGTTCCCAGTTTCTTCCACTTTGTTATAATCCCACTAACAGTTGAGTGTGGAATATTTAGTAGCCAGGAAATGTCACGGATGGACTTATTGCACAGGTGACAACCTATCACGGGACCACGCTTGGAGTCACTGAGCTCCTGAGAGCGACCCATTCTTTCACAATGTTTGTAGAAGCAGTCTGCATGCCTAGGGGCTTGATTTTATACACCTGTGGCCATGGAGGTGACCAGGTTGCCATATTGCATTTTACAGAAGACAGTTCTGCGGATTGAAAAGGAAAGGTAATTTTTAATTACATTCAATTACTATATGTCTTGTGTTGCAATTGTATACGCCATGTTGTTATTTTTTTGCTAATTTTTACCCTTTAACTATTGCTAGATATTCACCTGGAAAAATGGAACCCATCATAGACACTGAGAATATATATAGCGCAAAAATCAAGTTGAATGCCATGAAATCAAGTTGAACTCATCAATATTCTGACTACTGTTCACCATTGTTACCTCTACCCTGAACTCCTGCAATAAGGCATATAGTCCTATTAGCAGCTCAATAATAAAAATACCAACGAAAAAAAAAATCAAATATTAGGTCTTCTAATATTAATGGTACTCTCTGCATATCTCCAAGTTCCTATTTAAAGGTCACAGACACAAAGAAACATAAATATTTTGTCCTCTGTGACAGCTGAACAAATGGGAGTATTCCAGAATGGATTGCAGTACTAGCATGACAGCACCACCTCCTGGACAAAGCTAGGCAGTGCAGGTAAATAAAAGGGGGGGGGACGGACTGCCATTGTGCTGACCTTCTCCTAATAAAAGCCTGGCTGTCTCTGCTCTACTTTTTATGTCAGTGACCAGGGCAGAAGGACACAGACAGTGAAATAAATCCAAATAGGAATATTGATTTCTAAGAATATTGCAATTGTTGGATCAGCATAACAGCCACAACTACCCACATGGAAGAAAAATATATTTTAAATATATTTTAAAAATATTCTTCCCAAATATATTTGCCATATATTTGCTACAATTTTGGCCATATTCAATATATTTAAAAAATATATTTCAATAAATAAATATATATATATATATATACACACTGCATGTTGAAATGCATTTTTATTACAAAAAATATATAAAAAATATTTTTAAAAATACATTTCAAATATAAAAAAAAATTCTGAAGAATATATTGCCCCTGGTACCTTTATATATATATTTTAAATATATTCTTCAGATTTTTTTAACATATAAAAAATTTTAATATACAGTTTTACATATATTTGTACATGCATTCCAAAGATTTATATTTGTATTTTGAAAGTCATACAGTATATTTGAAATGTATATTTTTAAAATATTTTTCATATATTTTGTAATAAAAACGCATTTCAATATGCAGTATATATATATTTATATATATATAATATATATATATATATATATATACACACATACTCTGAAGGGGACACGTAATGTAGTGGGGCACTCTGATGGGGACACCTAATATAAGGGGGCACTCTATTGGGACACCTAATGTAAGGGGCACTCTGATGGGAACACCTAATGTTTGGGGCATTCTATTGGGGACACCTAATGTAAGGGGCACTCTGATGGGGACACCTAATGTAAGGGGGCACTCTGATGGGGACACCTAATGTAAGGGGGCACTCTGATGGGGACACCTAATGTAAGGGGGCACTCTGATGGGGACAACTAATGAAAGGGGCACTCTGATGGGGACAACTAATGAAAGGGGCACTCTGATGGGGATAACTGATCACATGTAAGAGGACACTCTAATGAGGACAATTGATATAAAAGGGTACTCTGATAGGGACCCTGATGTAAGGGAGCACTCTGATGGGGGACACCTGATGTAAGGGGATGCTCTGATTAGGGACACCTGATGTAAGGGGGTACTCTGATAGGGACCCTGATATAAGGGAGCACTCTGATTGGGACTCTGATGTAAGGGGGCACTCTGATGGGGACTCTGATTTAAGGGAGCACTCTGATGGGGACTCTGATGTAAGGGGGCACTCTGATGGGGACCCTGATGTAAGGGGGCACTCTGATAGGGACCCTGATATAAGGGGGCACTCTGATGGGGACCCTGATGTAAGGGGGCACTCTGATGGGGACCCTGATATAAGAAGGAAATCTGATGGGGACCCTGCTGTAAGGGGGCACTCTGATGGGGACCTTGATATAACAAGGAATTCTGATGAGGACCCTGATGTAAGGGGCACTCTGATGGGGGCCCTGATGTAAGGGGGAACCCTGATGGGGACCTGGTGTAAAGCAGCACTCTGATAGGAACTCCTGATATAAGGGGGCACAAGTTCTTTTTAATCTCCCTAATCTGACCCTGGTGCAGAGTGAGCGACCCCTATGGTCAGTACGCAGTAAACTGGAAGATTGTGGCGATTACTGTAGTAGCACCAACTACAGCATTCTCAGCCTTTTGGCTAAGATCAAGTGTAGTATCTGTTCTTATCAATGTCCAGTGGGGGTGCTCCCGGCCATTCTAGCTTTGTGGAGATGGCTGTTGTATAGTACCCTCACTGGTATGATGGGGGTCTGGACGGCTAGTACCCGGGGGGACAGAAAGCGTGGTGCCCACGAGTAGGGGGCCCGTGAGTAATTCCCCCGAGGAGACCGGAAGGACCCAGTACCTCCTGATTTGGACGGATCTACCTTGTCTGGCCAGGGGCTAGGAAGGCAGAAAGTCCGCAAACTCAGTGCCCCCTGAGAGTAGGACGCCCTCAGGGGTGCCACTAGTAACACCTGGGTGATGGACCCCACTGATTGAAGATGGCACAAGGTCACTGTTTTTACACTCTTTTTGCACAGCGCCCTTAGGACCAGGCCTTTTGGCTAGGATCAGGGCAATTTTTGCTACAGGCCTCAGGGCCTGGTAAGTGTGCACAATTTGGCACGGTACCACTTTTTTATTTTCTATTTATTTAATTTAATCACTCCCACGATTTGTCACTTTTTCTTGCTTTTGTGTGGGTTTTTCACAAGATGGAGGGTGTGGGTCCTCGGCCTTCCCTGAAGTCTAGGGGAGGATGTGTGGCCTTTTGGTTCCTTCCTCCCCTGATCCCTAGGGGTTTTCTCTTCGGGAGAGCCCCCTGACCAAGTACTGGGTGTCCGGCTTCGGCTGGAGACAAGGAACGGGGTCCACCTGCCTTTTGGCCAGGAGGACACTGATGTAAGGGGGAACCCAAATGGGAACTTTGTCCCTGTCAGGAGCTTTGTGCCCCGGGGGATCAGGGTAGTGGTCCAGCCCCTTTAGGTTTAGGACAAAAGCACACCCCTAAGTGCACTTTTTCATGTGGTGTTCGCACTTGCACTTTTTTTGTGATCACTTACGGGTTTTTTCGTTCTAGTTTGCACGTTTTGCGGACTTAAAAAAAATAAATAAATTGATTTCAAGCTTCCATGGTGCTCCTTAAGGTATGAGATGTACATATTTACATTGATCTAAGATCATACCTGGAGTTCAGCTTGTAGGGCTTTGGATTTAGCACCGTTTACTTCTAGGCCAGAGATCTGTGCAAAAAGACCCAAAGTATGGTGTAGGTCGGGTGTAGAGATGTGCAATGTCATTACATATAGTAGGACATCGACCACAAATAATCTAGGTTTATAGTGGTGGCCTGTGAGATCTATTCCTCTAATGCCAGGGCGTTCTCCAAACATTTGGGCTAGATGTTCAATGATAAGCCTCTTCCTATAATAAAGGGGTCAGATTATAATTGCAAGTGGGAGGAGTAGAAAGATTCTCCTGGGAGTCGAAAAATAAAAGTCTTATATGGAGGATAATGGAATCTGACACCACCATGCAAAATTCACTTCAGCTCTCGCAGAGATGCCGGAGGCGGAAAATGAGCCTGAACCTTCTTCTCCAAAATTTACCATAATGGCTCTGTGATATTGAGGTCCAGTGACTGCGGCTCCCAGGGAAGGTGCAAGACTTTGCCTGCATGCTCGTCACAACACGATTTTACATCAGCCATGTGAATTGGAGCATTATTGTCTTGGTAAATGGCACTGTCTTTGGGAACAATGTCTGCACCATGGGGTGCACATGGTCGGCCGAAATTTGTACAATAGTCACTGGCAGTGACTCAGTGGTAATGGGGCCTGCAGAATACCAAGATACGGCTGCCCAAACCACGATTGCGCTGCCATCATACTTTACTATTGGCACAAGACAGTCCTGGTTGTAGGTTTGGGACAGTGTTTACCACGTCAGCACATCCAGTGGTTGGGAACAATGTGACGTTCGATTTATCGGACCATATTACAGTCTTCCATTGATTGATAGTCCACAATTTATGGGTGTTGCACCATTCTCTCTTCTTCTGAGCATTAATATTGGTCACTAGTGGTTTGGCAATATGCAGCTCACCCATTACTGTTTTGCTTATGGAGTTCCCTCTGCACAGTTTTTGTGGACACGGACTTTGGAAGACCAAGATTGAGCTCTGCAGTCACTTTTGCAGTCCTTTTTTTATTACGGGTCACAATCCTGCGCAATGTTCTTTTGTCTCTTTCGGTCAGGTGACCATGTGGACCGCGCTTATGTTTTTCAGACGACATAACCGTCAAAACCTTTGATACCATAACCGTATAGGCCATCATCACCTCTGATACCATAACCGTATATGCCGTCATAACCTTTGATACCATAACCGTATAGGCCATCATAACCTCTGATACCATAACCGTATAGGCCATCATAACCTCTGATACCATAACCGTATAGGCCGTCATATCCTCTGATGTCAAAACCTTTGATACCATAACCGTATAGGCCAGTGGTGGGCAACCTTTTTTTTCAACTGAGCCAAATCTCGCCAAAACCACGATTGAAATTTATTTTGAGAGCCACATTTTTAAAACTGAAAATACATCTCTCCCATATAGTAATTCATCCCCCATAGTAATTCATCCCCCATATAGTAATTCATCCCCCATATAGTAATTCATCCCCCATAGTAATTCATCCCCCATATAGTAATTCATCCCCCCATAGTAATTCATCCCCCATAGTAATTCATCCCCCATAGTAATTAATCCCCCATATAGTAATTAATCCCCCATACAGTAACCTTCATCCCCATAGTAATTCATCCCCCATATAGTAATTCATCCCCCATAGAAATTCATCCCCCATAGTAATTCATCCCCCATATAGTAATTCATCCCCCCATATAGTAATTCATCCCCCATAGTAATTCATCCCCCATATAGTAATTCATCCCCCATAGTAATTCATCCCCATATAGTAATTCATCCCCCCATAGTAATTCATCCCCCATATAGTAATTCATCCCCCATAGTAATTCATCCCCCATAGTCATCCCCCATATAGTAATTCATCCCCCATATAGTAATTCATCCCCCATAGTAATTCATCCCCCATAGTAATTCATCCCCCATATAGTAATTCATCCCCCATATAGTAAGTCCCCCATATAGTAATTCATTCCCCATATTGTGTCAATTCACTTACCTTTGCTCCGCGCGTTCCTCTCGCCGTGTTCCCGCGCCGTTCTGGTCTTCAGGGCGGACTGTGAGAGGAGAGGAGTTCGTCACGCTGCCCCGCCTACATCCTGGCTGCCCCGCCTACATCCTGACAGCTGCAGTCCTGACTTTTGGGGGGCCGCCCGAGAGGAGGGAGGGAGGCGGCCGCCCGAGAGGAGGGAGGGAGGCGGCAGAGGAGGGAGGGGAGCGCGGGCGGCCGCCCGAGAGGAGGGAGGGGAGCGGGCGCGCCGGCACACAGAAGAGTCGCATTTAAGTTTGTAAAGAGCCGCATGTGGCTCGCGAGCCGCGGCTTGCCGACCACTGGTATAGGCCATCATAACCTTTGATACCATAACCGTATAGGCCGTCATAACCTCTGATACCATAACCGTATAGGCCGCCATAACCTTGATACCATAAACGTATAGGCCGTCATAACCTCTGATACCATAACCGTATAGGCCGTCATAACCTCTGATACCATAACCGTATAGGCCGTCATAACCTCTGATACCATAACCGTATAGGCCGTCATAACCTCTGATACCATAACCGTATAGGCCGTCATAACCTTTGATACCATAACCGTATAGGCCGTCATAACCTCTGATACCATAACCGTATAGGCCGTCATAACCTTTGATACCATAACCGTATAGGCCAGTGGTCAACCTTTTTTACCAAACTGAATAGGCCGTCAACCTCTGCCAAAACCAGGATCATAACCTCTTTACCATTTTGAGAGCCACATTTTTATAAACTGAAAATACATCCCCCATACCTAGTATACCATTAACCGTATAGGCCGTCATCCCCCATGATACCAGTAATTATCCGTCCCCTATAGTCATAACCCATATACCATAATTATAGGCCCTCATATATTCACCATAGTATATCCCCCATATAGTAATTCATAACCTATAGTAATACCATAGTATTCATCCCCCATAACCGTATAGGCCGTAATAACCTCATCCCCCATAAGTAATTCAGGCCCCATAACCTCTGATACCATAACCTTTATAGGCCGTCATAACCTCTACCATAACCGTATTCCCGCGTCATAACCCTGTTCCGTATAGGCGGACTGTACCATAGGAGTTCGTCATAACCTCTGATACCATGAACCGTTTGGCCGCTCATAATGCCGGATTAAAAGGTCCATAACCGTATACGGCATAACCCGCATAACCGTAGTTTGCCCATTGCTGGGCTAGCTGCAGAGTCCTGACCATAACCTTTTGGGGCGGTAACCCGATAGGAGGGAGGGGAGCGGGCGCCCGGCACACAGAAGAGCCGCATTACAGTGTGATACCAAACCGCATAGTGGCTCGCATAGCCGCGGCTGATACCACTAACCGTATAGGCCGTCATAACCTCTGATACCATAACCGTATAGGCCGTCATAACCTCTGATACCATAACCGTATAGGCCGTCATAACCTTGATACCATAACCGTATAGGCCGTCATAACCTCTGATACCATAACCGTATAGGCCGTCATAACCTTTGATACCATAACCGTATAGGCCGTCATAACCTTTGATACCATAACCGTATAGGCCGTCATAACCTTTGATACCATAACCGTATAGGCCGTCATAACCTTTGATACCATAACCGTATAGGCCGTCATAACCTTTGATACCATAACCGTATAGGCCGTCATAACCTTTGATACCATAACCGTATATGCCGTCATAACCTTTGATACCTTACCTCGCGACACAACAAATAAATTGGTGACTTCAGTCACAAAGGCACCAGCTAACCATCACCAACAATTTGCCCCCTTTGAAGCTCAGTAAGTTCTGACATGACTCCGTATTACTAGTAGAGTATGCAGTGAATGACCAAAGTGAGGTTTCCCACCTGTTGTTTCCACTTTCAATGCGAAACAGGTCGTCACTTTCACACCTTCAAATCATGTAGTGTTTCCATATTCTTGTCCAACCCCTGTAATACCTCTGTGTTCCTGTGTTTCTTTCTCAGCTCATCCAGCTCTTCTGGCTCTTTCAGTTCTCTGGTATATCTAACTTCCCTGAGATCTCTAGATTCCCTCGGTCCTCTGGACACGCCAACACGTTTACATAATATTGCACCGCTCTGCACGGTCCCACATTTCACCACAGAGCAAGTGAAGAACACCTTGGTGCTGTGCAGTGACATGAAAGAAATATCACTTTGTAGACTTCATATAAAGTTCTGTTAAAATGGAGGTCCGTGATGCGATTAAACATGCATCAGACCACCCCCTGCCGCTTGGCTCTGCATCCCAAACTACTATGGAGCAGCAGCATTTTGGGCTGCAGAGCAGTGTGAATGGACCCTTTGCCATCTTGACTCTCTGTACAAGGAATCTCCTGTCTCCAGCATTGTTTTTTGAGTGGGGAACATCTGTTCATTATAATGGGTGTGCATACCTGCACACTCAGCCTGCTGGTCTATAGTAAGACCTGAACATTGATTTGGAGACTTCTTCTGTCCAAAAACTCTTCAAAGTTTCCAAACTCCAGAACCAAATCTGGACATACCAAAACCCAGAGAAAACCAAACAATGTTTTCTCCATTCTAAATAGATATTCTAGAGCCCTGCATTCTGAATGGCATAGGACAGTGTTTCTCAACCAATGTGCTGCTGCACACTGGGGTGCTGTTTGGGTTCCCCTGGGGTGTCATGACCATTGAACCCAGTTTGCCCTGGATCAGAGCCTGTGAAGGGGGCCTCTGATGTGATGGGAGAC